ATGGGAGTTTGGGTGGGGGCCACAAGGTAAAAATTTAACCTATTTTATCTCCAAGGTCCCTTCCAACTCTGTTATTCTATTCTTTTCTTTTCTATTCATTCCATATTCAATTCTATTTTGTATTTTTTGTATTCTACTCTAGTCCAGTCCATTCTATTTCTATTCTACAAAGGAAGAAAGGAAGGAGGGAGATGAAGGGAAAAGGAGAAGGGTGGAGGGAAGGAAGGAGAGGGATGAGGGGAAGGAAGGAAGGAGAGGGATGGAGGGAAAAGGAGAGGGAGAGAAGAAGGATAGGGATGGAGGGAAGAAAGGAAGGAAGGAGAGGGATGGAGGGAAGAACAGAAGGAGAGGGATGAAGGGAAAAGGAGAGGGATGGAGGGAAGAAAGGAAGGAATGAGAGGGGTGGAGGGAAGGAAGGAAGGAGAGGGGTGAAGGGAAAAGGAGAGGGATGGAGAGAAGGAAGGAGAGGGATGGAGGGAAGAAAGGAAAGAAGGAGAGGGATGGAGAGAAGGAAGGAGAGGGATGAAGGGAACAAAGGAAGGAAGGAGAGGGATGAAGAACAGAAGGAGAGGGATGAAGGGAAAAGGAGAGGCATGGAGGGAAGAAGGAGAGGGTTAAAGGGAAGGAAGGAATGAGAGGGATGGAGGGAAGGAAGGAAGGAGAGGGATGAAGGGAAAAGGAGAGGGATGGAGACGAGGAAGGAGAGGGATGGAGGGAAAAGGAAGGAAGGAGAGGGATGGAGGGAAGAAAAAAAGGAAGGATGAAGGGAAGGAAGGAAAAGAAAGAAGGACTGTATCCCTGTGGTTTTTGAGGCTAGGATGCATCCTAATTTTTACAGAGGGGGGGGGGGCGTGAAACTGCCCCTTTTCCAAGCCCTTAAACCTCCTTTTCTCCTCCTTCCCAACAGTCCCCCCCCCCTCGCTCTGGACTGCCCAGCCCAGCCCTCCCCTCGAGGGGAAAAAGCGTTGGGGCGAATCCCGTGGCGGAAGAGAGGAAAGGGTGAGTCATTCGGATGCCAGCCTGGCGCCTTTGGGGCCGAGGAAGAGAAAGCAGCCTTTTAAACATGGGGAAAATTAAGCCCGAAGGAGGCGTCGGACGCAGAGCCCAGAGGAGAGAATTTGGAGGTGCTGACGTTTGTTTTAGGATTCGAATCCTCTTCTTCTCCCCACCTGCCCCAAGGTGGCAGGACAGCACTTTGCACATGCCCAGACGCTGGTTTCACAGAGCAAACAGCCAGCCACTGCAATTGAGTGGGGTGGGGTGGGGGGGTTTACACTTATTAGATTTCCACCAATAAATCAAATAATAGGGGGATAAAAATTGCAATTAGGTGCTGTTTGGAAGAGGCGGCTGAGAGGGGAAGGAATTTTGGCTGCCGGATTTATCCACTGTGGGTAGAAAAGGAAGGATTATTCCTTCCTTCCTTCCTTCCTTCCTTCCTTCTTTCCTTCCTCCACCTCTCTATGAATCTTCCCTTCTTCCGTCTTTCTTTTGTTCCTTCGTTTTCTTCTCTTTCCCCTTTTTCTTTTCTCTCCATTTTCCCCTTCCTGCCATTGCATCTCTCCCCTCCTCTCTCTCTTTTATTTTTCTTTTTTCTTTCCTTTTTCTTCTCCTTATCCCTTTCATCTTTCCTTTCCTTCATCCCTTCCTTTCCTTTCTTCCATCACCTTTCCTTTCCTCTCCTTTCTCCTTTCCTTTCCCTTCTTCCATCTCCTTTTCTTTCTTTCCCTTCCCTTTCTCCTTTCTCCTTTTTCCTTTCCTTTCTCCTTTCCCTTCTTCCATCTCCTTTCCTTTCTTCCCTTCCTCCTTTTTCCTTTCTCCTTTCCTTTCTCCTTTCCTTTCCCATCTCCTTTCCTTTCTTCACTTCCCTTTTTCCTTTCCTTTCCCTTCTTCCATCTCCTTTCCTTTCTTCCCTTCCTCCTTTTTCCTTTCCTTTCTTCCATCTCCTCCAATTTCTCCTTTTTCCTTTCCCTTCTTCCATCTCCTTTCCTTTCTTCCCTTCCTTTTCTCCTCTTTCCTTTCTCCTTTCCTTTCTTCCATCTCCTTCCCTTTCTCCTTTTCCCTTCCCTTCCCTTTCCTTCTTGCCTTTCCTGTCGATTTCCCCAACGTCAACCCCCGATCCTGCCTCTGAATCTCTTCTTGGGTGGGGAATCCTTTGGGGACTGGGGGGGTGAGCCTTTTCCCTGGCCATAGCCGAGACCTCCATCCTTGGCCCAGAGAAACTCCCCCACTTACCAGAGTGAGCCGGGCCGGAAACTGAGGCTGGGGTTCAGCGGGCAGAATGAGGAGCCCCTGGCCCAGCCGGCCATTATTTGTAACCTTGGCTAATCTGGGCTTTTAACTGGGGCGCCCAGGGGTCCTCCCCCCAGCCCTCCCAGAGGCCAATCAGTGTTGCAGGGGGATTTTCTGGCTTTGGATAGTTGTCACGCTGGAAGGGCTGTTTCCCCTTCTCTAAGCCCTACATTCCTCTGCCCATTTTGTTTCCCCCGAGGTTTGGCACCAGAAAGGCTGTGGCAGCCAAATGGCTCAGAAACTACAAAAGCAGCAGGAGAGAGAGAATGAGAGAGAGAGAGAGGGACAGAAAAAGAAAGAATGAGAGACAGAAAGAGACGAGAGAGAATGAGAGACAGAATGAGAGAGAGAAAAAGAATGAATGAGAGACAGAAAGAGACGAGAGAGAATGAGAGACAGAATGAGAGAGAGAAAAAGAAAGAATGAGAGACAGAAAGAGATGAGAGAGAATGAGAGACAGAATGAGAGAGAGAAAAAGAATGAGAGACAGAAAGAGATGAGAGAGAATGAGAGACAGAATGAGAGAGAGAAAAAGAATGAGAGACAGAAAGAGATGAGAGAGAATGAGAGACAGAATGAGAGAGAGAAAAAGAATGAGAGACAGAAAGAGATGAGAGAGAATGAGAGACAGAATGAGAGAGAGAAAAAGAAAGAAGAGAGAATGAGAGAGAGGGAAAAAGAAAGAACGAGGGAGAGAAAGAAAACCAGCGAGGGAGAAAGAACAGAAAAAAAGAAAGGAGGGAAGAGAGAGAATGAGAGAAAGAGAATGAGAGAGAAAGAAAAAAGTGAGTGAGAGAGAAAGAAACAGAAAGGAAAAACAGAAGCAGAATGAGAGAAAATAGAATGAAAGAAAGACTAGAAAGAGGAAGGAAGAGGGAATGAGACAGAGAGAGAGAAAAGGAAAGTGAGATAGAGAAAGAGAAGGAAACAGAAAGAGAAAGGATGAGGAGAATAGAGAGAATGAGAGGAAGAAAATAGAGTGAGAGAAAGAATAGAAAGAGGGAGGGAAGAGAGAATGAGAGAAAGAGGAAAAGAAAGCGAGAAAGAGAAAGTAACAGAAAGAGAGAGAAAGGGAATGAGGGAAAGAATAGAGAGAATGAGAGGAAGGGAAGGGAGAGAGAGAGTGTGTGTGTGCAGGCCAAAAACCTCTGGTTTTGGAGTGGATAAAAATCTAATAAATCTATAGAAAAGTGAATAAACTACAAAAATCCAGCTGAGTGACTTTGAGCCAATCACCAGGTGACGGTGAGTTCTAGTCCTGCCTTAGCTCTGAAAGCCCACTGGGTGACTTTGGGCCAGGAAAATAGGAGGGGGACAGGTGCATTCATCATCATCATCATCATCATCACCTCCTTTGTAAAAAAGAATAACACAAAATTCAGGAAACTAAACGAAGCAACAATTCAATTTTTTAATGAGATTTTTCTTCTTCTTCTTCCTTCGCTAGAACTCCCAGCGGTGTCTCTCTCGAGCGAGCGAGGACCCACCCCCTGCCCCGAAAAAACCCATCCGTCTGTCTGTCCGGGACGCTGACCTCTTCACAGCGACACCATCCACAATCACATTCCCGCCCCCCTGCCCCGCCCCGCCCTGGTTAGACGCGTGGTTGAACCACGGGGGCATCGCGGAATTGAAGGTGGAAGAAGGTGAAGGCGGCCGCCACGAACCGGATGTATTCTTCAAAGGTGACCTCTCCGTCCCGATTGGTATCCAGCAAGGTGAGCAATTCTTCCAGAGCCTCACCTTTGATTTCCAGCTTCGGTTTTGCAAACAAAACAAAACGGAAAAAATGGAGATTAGCAATAAGATGGAGCACCCTTTCCCTCTCCTTCTTTCTCCTTAGAATAGAATAGAAGCGGGAAGGGGCCTGGGAGGTCTTCTAGTCCAGCCCCCCCCCCCCCCCCTGCTCAGGCGGAATAAAAGAGTTACAGAGGGAAGGGATCTTGGGCCTTGTAACTTTTGAACGGTCATAAATCAAGGACTACCTGTGTTTATTTAACTAAAAACTTTAAAACCTACCTAAAACTTGCTTAAAACTTACTTAAAACTTTAAAACTTCTTTAAAACTTTAAAATTATTTCAAAACTACTTCAGAACTATTTCAAAACTATTTCAAAACTACTTCAAAACTACTTTAAAATTTACTTAAAACATTAAAAAACTTTAAAAAACTTTAAAACTACTTTAAAACTACTTTAAAACTTACTTAAATTTTACTTAAAACTTTAAAACTACTTTAAAACTACTTTAAAACTACTTTAAAATTACTTTAAAATNCCCTGCTCAAGCAGAATAAGAGTGGAATAACAGAGAGGGAAGGGACCTTGGAGGTCTTCTAGTCCAGCCCCCTGCTCAAGCAGAATAATAGCAGAATAACAGAGATGGAAGGGACCTGGGAACCAGCAGAATGCCCAGGAAAACACCCCCCCTCCCCATCTTTTACAGTTCAGTCTCCAAAAACCAGAAGTCTGAGGTAGACTGCTCCTGAATCTGGAGGCTTGGCTGCCTTCTCCCAATCCAAAAGCTGCTTTAAAAAAAAAAAAGCAGGCAGATTTTTTATTTTTTTTAAAAAAGCAACTCTTTGCAAAAGACAAAAATGTGTGGGGAACTTACAGGAGGGGGAGATCGTGAATCAGAGGCTGCGCCCCAATTTGACCCCAGGAGAAAAACGAACGTTTTTTTTTAAAAAACCGATAAAAGCAACTCACCGAAGAAGGTGGAAGGACGATGGGCTTGTAGAGGCGAAGTAGGGAGTTGAGTGTGGCGGCTTAAGTTTCTTATACACGGTGTGGGGTCCCTGGGGAGGGATGCTAGCAGAAAGGAACAGGGCAGAAAGCCCTTGGGGGACCCATAGCGTTCTCCCTCTGGGCTCGACATTGGTTTGATCGTACATCAAAACACCCCAGATCTGAACTGGTTTAAAACGCCCCTTTCAGTATAGGCCTCCCTTGGAAGGAAAGTATTTTACAAAATTTTACAAAAGTCCCTTCCTTCCCCTCCTGGTTTTTCTTTAAAGGAAAAATAAAAAGGTTCCTTTTTTAAATTAAAGAAAAAAATAGATGTATAAATTTTATTAAAAGTTGATGAGCCGTCACACGAACTGGCGCCACCCGAAATAGGGTGAAGTTGAAGAAAGTACCAGAGGCACGATCGGAAAAGAAAATAGAAGGAAGTAGAAGCAATAGCGAGAGAGATGCAAAGATATAATCTGCACGTATCATTCTTACTGGAAGTTTGAAGAGCGAAAACAAAAAGGAACACGAAGTAAAATGAAGCAAGAGAAAGAGCAAAAAGAGAAGCGAAAAAGAAGGCGATAGAGAAGAGAGAGAATGCTTTTTTCAACGGATAATTCTTATGGATAGTTTTAAGAGCAATAGTAATATCAAATAAAATGGAACAGGAAAGAAAAAGAAAGAAAGAAAAGGGAAAGAAAGAAGAAAGGAAGAAAGAAGAAAAGAAAGAAAAGAAAAAGAAAAAAGGAAGGAAGGAATAAAGAAGGAAGTAGAAAAAGGATATATAGATATAATAACTTTGTTAATGTATAATTCTTATTGATGATTTTAAGAGCAATAGTAATATCAAATAAAATGGAACAGGAAAGAAAAAGAAAGAAAGAAAGAAAGAAAGAAGAAAGGAAGGAAGAAGAAAAAGAGAAAAAGGGAAAGGAAGGAATAAAAAGAAGAAGGAAGTAGAAAAAGGATGTATAGATATAATACTTTGTTAATGTATAATTCTTATTGATGATTTTAAGAGCAATATTATTTTATTTGTAATATCAAATAAAATGGAACAGGAAAGAAAGGAAGAAGAAAGGAAGAAGAAAAAGAAAAGAAAAAAAGAAAAAAAAGGGAAAGGAAGGAATAAAAAGAAAAAGGAAGTAGAAAAAGGATACATAGATATAATACTTTTTTAATGTATAATTCTTATTGATGATTTTAAGAGCAATAGTAATATCAAATAAAATGGATCAGGAAAGAGAAAGAAAGAAAGAAAGAAAGAAAAAGAAGAAGAAAAAGAAAAGAAAAAGGGAAAGGAAGGAATAAAAAGAAGAAGGAAGTAGAAAAAGGATATATAGATATAATACTTTTTTAATGTATAATTCTTATTGATGATTTTAAGAGCAATAGTAATATCAAATAAAATGGATCAGGAAAGAAAGAAAGAAGAAAAAAGAAAGGGAAAGGAAGGAATGAAAAGAAAAGTAGAAAAGATATAAAGAATGTTTTTTTAATGTGTCATTCTTATTGATAATTTTAAGAGCAATAATAATATAAACTACAATGGAACAGGAAAGAAAAAGAAAGAAAAGGAAGGAAGGAAAGAAGGAAAGAGGAAAAAAAGGAAAGGATAAAAAGTAAATAGAAAAAGGATATGAGGATACGTGTTTTTTATGTATAATTCTTAACAACGGTTTTAATAACAAGAACTAATGGAAATTAAAATGGAAAGCAAAGGAATTGAACCAACGGAAGAACCAAACCATAAAAAGCCAGAAAAAAATGATATAAAGAAAGATAAATATACAACGGGGTTTTTCGTTAACGAATCATTCTTATTAGCGGTTTTAAGGGCAGCCGTAAAGAACGAATATAAATTAGAACCAAAAGCAAAGAAAGGAACGAGATTTAAGATAAGGAGAAAAGTAGAAGCAAGTAGGAAACCAAATATACAAGAAAGATATAAACTTATAATTTTAAAAAAACAAAACCAGAACTTTCAAAGATTACATCGGTTTCGTAGCTGGCAGAAATGTCGCCAGTCCTGTTTTCTTTCTTTCTTGTTTATTTTGTAAATTCAAAAAAAGGGTGGGGTTTTTTGCCAAGGGGGGGCGGGATAAATCAAAATATAGAATCTGATCTTAGTCAAAAGGCTGGCATTTAAAAATAAATAAATAGAGAGAAGAGGGAGGGAAAAGTGTCCTCCTCTGGACTTTAGCAGCATCCGAAGCTTAAATCTCCCTGGGAAGGACCAAGGGGATGCAGGAGGATGCGGTTGCCTAGCAACGGAGGAAGCCAGGGACCAAGAAGGCCAGGGATGCTCCTGCCTGCAGGGAGTTTGCGAGGAATTCAAAGTTCTGGGTTTGGTTTTCGTTCTTTTGCAGAGTTGATCCCTCTGTTTCTTTGCTCTGAGGCCTTTCTTTTTCTTTCTCCTTCAAGTTTCCTTCCTTCTCTTTCCTTCCTTCCTTTTTAAAGCCTTTCCTTTTTCCTTCCCTTTCATTTTAGCCCTTCCTTCCTCTTCCTTCCTTCTATTCCTTCCTTCCTTTCCTCCCTCCCGACTTCTCTCTATTCCCTTCCTTCCCTCTTTCTTTTCTTTCCTGCGTTCTTGCTTTCCTCCCTCCTCCCCTCCTTGCTTCTTTCCTTCCTTCCCTCTCTGTATTCCTTCCTGCCTTTCTTTTCTTCTCCTTCCTTCCCTCCCTTCTTGATTTTTTCCTTCCTTCCCTCTTTATTCCTTCCTTCTTTATTTCCTTTCCTCTTTCTCTCCCCTCCTTCTTGATTCTTTCCTTCCTTCCTTCTCCCTATTCCTTCCTTCCTTCTTCCTTTCCTTCACTCCCGCCTCACCTCCCTTCCTTTGCTACTTTCCTCCATTGCTCCTTCCTTCCTTTCCCTTCCTTCCTATCTCCTTCCTTTCCCTTCATTCCCATCTCCTTCCTTCCTTTCCCTTCACTCCCATCTCCTTCCTTCCTTCCTTCCTTCCTTCCTTCCCTCCTTTCCTTTCATTCCCATCTCCTTCCTTCCTTCCTTCCTTCCTTCCTTTGCCTTCATTCCCATCTCCTTCCTTCTTTCCTTCCTTCCTTTCCCTTCACTCCCATCTCTTTCCTTCCTTCCTTCCCTCCTTCCTTTCATTCCCATCTCCTTCCTTCCCTCCTTTCCTTTCATTCCCATCTCTTTCGTTCCTTCCTTCCTTCCTTCCTTCCTCCCGCCCTCCCTCCCTCCCTCCCTCCCTCCCTCCCTCCCATTCAATTGAAACCTGCAGACAGTTATCTAAATCAGGCCTCCTCCTCCTCCCCACGCCCCCAAACTCCGAAGCCCATCGTCCCCAGCCCCTCAGGAGCCAAGCAGAAACACCAAAAAGGCTTCTTTTTTTTCCATTTTTATTATTTTTTTGAAAGCAAACTTTATTTGGTTGTCGGTGTGTGTGTGTGTGTGTGTGTGTGTATGAGAGAGAGAGAGAGAGAGAAGGAGAGAGACTGGCAATTTTGCTCGCCAGAGAGACAGCCCCACTCTCAAAGCTGTTTCACCAACCGAAGGCTACAGGGGGGGGGGAAAGCCACCTTACACACACCTGTGAACTCTGCCCGCCCGTCTTGTACGCCGGCCTGCTCGGGTGTCGCACGCCCCCCCGCCCTTCCCAGCTTCATTTCTGCCGCGGCATCTTGTCCGGGAATCCGTGAAAAAAATCATTGCACGCCATGGCGATGCAAGCGAGGAAGGTGGCGTATTCTTGGAAATCCACTTGGTTGTCCTTGTTGGAATCCAGATTGCTCATGATTTTTTGAAACGTGGATTCGTCCTTTTTCTTCTGGGGGGAAAAAAACGGAGCGTTTAATTTTTTTGGGAGGGGAGGGGAGGAGAAAAAGGTGGCGGGAAATGGGGTTAAAACACTGCCCCGGCTCCTCTTTAAATCGACTTTAACGGTAAAGGTGCTAGCCGTTCCCGGCTCCAGGGGACGCTGCTCATCTCCGTTTCAAAGCCGAAGAGCCAGCGCTGTCCGAAGACGCCTCCGTGGTCATGTGGCCGGCATGACTCAACGCTGAAGGCGCACGGAACGCTGTTCCCTTCCCACCAAAGGTGGCTCCTATTTTTCTACTTAATGTGCTTTCGAACTAATAGGTTGGCAGAAGCTGGGACAAGTCACGGGAGCTCACTCGGTTATGCGGCGTTGGGGATTCGAACCGCCGAACTGCCGACCTTTTTCTGATCAACAAGCTCGGCGTCTTAGCCACTTAGCTACCGCGTCACATGAATTATATAGTTATATAAATTTTTACGTGCTTTCAAACTGCGAGTTTGGCGGAAGCTGGGACAAGTCACGGGAGCTCACTCGGTTACGCGGCGCTGGGGATTCAAACCGCCGAACTGCCGACCTTTTTCTGATCGACAAGCTCGGCGTCTTAGCCACTGAGCTACCGCGTCCCATGAATTATATAGTTATATAAATTTTTACGTGCTTTCAAACTGCAAGTTTGGCGGAAGCTGGGACAAGTCACGGGAGCTCACTCCATTACGCGGCGCTGGGGATTCGAACCGCCGAACTGCCGACCTTTTTCTGACCGACAAGCTCGGCGTCTTAGCCACTGAGCCACCGCCTCCCATAAATTATATCGTTATGCTTATATAACTTTTTTAACGTGCTTTCGAACTGCTAGGTTGGCAG